CATCTAATGTTGGGAAGTACTTAGGAATTCCAATTATACATGGAAGATTTAGAGCATCGGTCCTTCAGGACATAATAAACAAAGTTAATCTTCGTTTTTGTAACTGGTCTGCGGCTTCTCTATCTTTAGCAGGGCGCTCGACATTAGTTAAATCGATCCTTCAAGCTTTGCCAACATATGCTATGCATATTTTTAAGTTTCCAGTAGTAGTTTGTAACAAACTTGACCAGATTTGTAGGAATTTCTTATGGGGGCATACCGCTCGAAAATCTAGAATACACCTTAATTGAAATTTGGTCACAAAGCCAAAGTTTGAGGGGGGACTTGGGTTACACCGATTTAAAGAATTTAACATAGCTCTGATTGGCAAAATTGGCTGGGGTTTAATCAGCCGACCAAACGATCTTTGGGCTCAAGTGCTCATAAATAAGTATAAAGGAAGGTGGAGGGATGGGTGGAGCTTGGTTGTAAAGCAAGGAGACTCTTGGCTCTGGAATTCTTTAGCTGGAGCATGGAATGAAATTAATCGTGGGATGGGTTGGGGAATTGAGAATGGTTGTACAGCTAAATTTTGGCTAGATAGATGGGTCAATGGGAAAGCATTATAGAAGCTATGGATGGGATTGATGTTCCAGATTTTGAAAGAAATAGACCTATTAAGGATTATGTTTTAGAAATGGGAGGCTGGAATTGGGAAATCTTTGCAAATAGAGTTAATCAATCAATATCGTTAGCTATTGCAAGTATAAATCCGCCAGATGAGACAATCAATCTACCTGATTACCCAGTTTGGATTGGTTCTAGGAATGGGGACTATTCGGTGTCCGTAACATATAAAAATCTGCTATCTTTGAAATCTTCAGTTTCAGAAAACAAAATATGGAAAACTATCTGGAATTGGGAAGGGCCATATAGAATATGTTTTTTCCTTTAGCTTGTAGGGCATGAAAGACTCCTCACTAACCATGAAAGGTTTAGAAGGCATATTAGCATATTGGATAATTGCTCGTTTTGCCCACAATTGTCGGAAACATTAATTCATGTGTTGAGAGATTGTGTTATTGTCCAGAAAGTGTGGGCAGAATTAGTTCCCGTTAATTTCTCTAATAAATTTTTTAATTGTGACCTGCAGCAATGGCTTTTGATCAACCTGACGGAGGCACCGATTGAAGATTGGCCAAAACTTTTTGCGGTCGGGTGTTGGTTACTTTGGTCTTGGAGGAACAAAGCTATTTTTGATCCGACGTCAAAATGGCCAGAGAACCCAGCCACAATAGGTCAGAGGACATCGGAAAGATCTTGCTAAGCTTGGAGTTTAGCCATGCCACTTTTGAGAAAGCAAAAGCATCGGTGGGTGGATATTCGTTGGAAGCCTCCACCAAGAAATTACTGAAATTGAACTCTGATGGCTCAGCTCATGGAAATCCAGGATGGGCAGGAGCAGGTGGGGTAATCCGGAAGTCTGATGGAAGCTGGGTGAAAGGTTTTCAACAAAACCTTGGTTTTGCTACAGCAATTACAGCAGAATTGTGGAGAATACAATCTGGGCTTGAGCTTGCCTGGAAGTTGGGTTGTAGAAAACTTCATGTGGAATCAGACTCACAAATTGCGTGCAATCTGATACGCAAACACACTCAACCCACGACATTATTAAAGCCTTTCCAGCTGATAGATAGGGATTGGGAAGTATCGATACATCACGTTTTTTGAGAAGCTAATTACTGTGCGAATTGGCTAGCTAATAGAGCCTGTAATCTACTCATAGGATATCACGTGTGTGATGAGCCTCCAAGAGGCATTCTACATCTGCTGATGGCAGATTCATCTGCGGTCGCCATGCCCCGTCTTATAAACTTTGTGTAGCATTATTGTGTTGGGTTTTTTTTGCCCTGCCTTATGTTCGAAAAAAAATAAAGGACTCTTAACTACCTAGGATATGATATCCTACGAGTTTCCTTGTCAACCAAATGTAGTAGGGTCAGACGGTTGGCCCGTGATTAGTCGAGGTGTGCGTAAGTTGGCCCGGACACACGGATATTAAAAAAAAATAATAATAAAGTACTCCTAACTTTTTGGTTGAGCATTTTCTGTTGGTTCTTTTTAATGACTTGATTTTTTTTTCTGTTTGTCTTGAATCAAATAGAGATTGTCACCATGATTAGGTTGGAGTAGGAGTTCTTGAATCAAAGAGGTCCTAATCGTCTAACACGAGCATAGCTCAACGGTTAAGGTACTTTACTCATTTCTCCTGACCATCTCTTACCTTCTTTTTTGAAATTGAAACAGGGTTATTTAGTGTAAAAAAGTATTTGGTAATTGTTTTTTGTTTATTAAAAATATGAAATTGGAATTAGAATATTAAAACTTAGTACGTGCAACCTATGATTTAATTATTACAAATCATAGTAGCCACCCACCTAAGATTTAATATTTTTCTTGTTAACCAAATGTAGTAGGGTCAGATGGTTGGCTCGTGATTAGTTGAGGTGCGTGACACGGATATAAAAAAGAAAGAAAAAATTAAAACTTCATCATCCAATCTATTATCATGAGTTTGACATTGACACGTGGATATTTCCACCATGAAATTGTATTTCATTATTTGTGAGACCTTTCACAGGTGTTCAATTTTGTTTTTCAAAATTGATCTGCAAAATGTTTTTAAGTTTCCAGGAGAAACAAAGCCGCAATGGAGGTGTTGATACAAAATTTAATAACTTTTAAGTTCTCATTTTGTTTTTGATTTTTTGCTCTTCTGTTTTTAAAAATAAAAGATCACACATGTTGATTGTTTATTGTTTGATATGTTTTTTTTTACAAATATTAAATTAAATAAATTTGATAATTGATTTTGTTTTTCTGTTTCTTCAAAAAGTTAGAAAGATAAACTAGAGCGAAATATGTAAAGACAAGAAATAAAGTTCAGATTAGAGAGATATTTTTAGAGAGAAATTTTTACAAAGATAAAAAGGGAAAAAAGTAGCTAGAGAAAGAATTGGTTAAGAAAAGTTGTGGAAAAAAAAGTGTTTGATAAATTTCAAAGAGATTAAAGTTAGAGAAAAAAAGAGGAATTTTGGAAAGAGAAAGCATATGTTAAAAAGAGGGAAGACAATAGAGTATAAAAAAGAGAAACAAATATTGTAACGAGAGAAATTAAAGTGATCAATTTTAGAGCGTTAGATGAAGAAATATAAGATATAGATAGAAAAGTTTGGAAAAATACTAAAGTTCTGGGAGAGGAATTTGTTGGATGATAAAAAGAGGGAAGACAATAGAGTATAAAAGAAAAGGTGAGATTTTGACCTATATTTTATTAAAAATCTACTTTATTTTCAATGGTCGATGCAAAACTAGGACTTGGATGTCGAGGGCTGCATCCTGCAATGTACGGCTGTAGGGGGACAAACCGGCAGGCAGAGGCGCCATTGTAGATTGTTGGAAATGTTCGACACACCTCTATCAGACGGTACAACCTGATGTGCCCCTGTAACTCTAACCACTGTCATTTTTGGTCGGCCATCGCACCTATAAAAAGGGCAAGACCCTTCCCTACTAAGTAAATGAAAAACTTGTCACTAAACTCTCTAGGTATCTACTCCTATTTTCTTATTCTGATAACTAATGTGATTGTCGAAGTGTATTAGGCGTGACACCGTACCGACGTCGAGTTTTCTTGTTGCAAACTCATTTGCCCTTTGGTACCCTATGCTTCTAAAGGACATGTGGATCACTCCAAAATTCGTCGTCAACAGCTAGTATCGTCTGTGGGGAGGACATTTTTAAGTCCGACAAAAGCTCTATACCCCTCACTAAGACACTTCGACAATGTCTTCCGACAAGGAGTCGTCGTTCAATTTAATCCGTCAATGAGGAGCGTTGACCTGGCAAGCCTGCCGTCTAGACAGCCATCACTCCCCCAATTCCCATAACGACAAGGGAGTCATGAACTCGGGTCACCCACTTTGCCCGATGGGTAACCTCGAGAAGCGAAAGGTGGGAAACCCTCATAGGAGAAGCTCGGGACTCCAAGCTGAGGTACGGGCGATGAACACCTAAATGTCCTCTCAAATCAGGAGACTGATCGATGTCATCTTAACCGACCGTGCCAGAAAAGCTGCCACACCAGCGAATGAAAGCAGGGGCACCGGTCAGACCACCAAAGGGGAATCCCATGCAGTGCCCCAAGAAGGTCTTAATGAAAAGGATCCCCTAACAGTAGTCAGACTCCCCAAACAAGCACCGACACATCCAGCCACTCGAGCAGATCCCACAATGGGATCAGCGTGGAGGAGCTTGATCGCATCAAGAAGGAAATCTTGAATCGAGTGCGAAACAAACTAGGAACAGAAACAAAGGATCCACGGTCCACTATGAACCTCTGGAGATAACTCAAGAGTCGTTCACTGCCAACGTGCTTATCGTCGGCCTCGCCAGGCAATGGTTCCCAGACTTGCCCCAACTCTCCATCTCAATGTACCAAGATCTTTTTCGAAAGTTTGTCGATCAGTTTCATTACTCATGCGTCAACAGGCGGACCGAGACCCGCCTTATGTTCATTAAACAAAAGTTGGACGGATATCTTAAGGCCTATGTTGCTCGCTTTACCATTGAATGTTGCAAGTACGGTACTTCAACGAGAATGTGCCAGTAACCTCCATTCTAGCCTTCCTCTTTTTTTGTTTCATTATTCCAGCGTGAGGAGGTTGTGAGTTCGATCCCCACCCCCACACATTGTATTAAAAAAAATATATGTATATCTTTCTTTTTAATCTTCTAATTTACATTATGATAAACATCCTGCGTTCCAAAAGATTATGTAATATATACATTTTATTATTATATACTAAACTATAAGTTTATTTATTTTCAACTATAAGTTCTTTTTTCCTCATTGCCCTTTCTATTATTTTTTCTTTATTTTCTAGAAAAAATTTTCCTTCTTACTTTTCCACCAAAGATTAATTTCAATTTGGTTTCATTGATTCTGTATATGGCCGTTATTTCTAAATTATTAAGTTATATAATATATTCCAATGATCATAATATAATATGATAAACATATATTGCTCCAAATGGTTATATAATATATAGCTTTCTAGTGATATATATTCCAATATTAGATTACACAATATATACCTTTAAGTATATGCTGCATACCTGTTGAAGGTAAGTCTGAGCAGGACACGCGTTCGAATTCTAAAGCGACAGTGGGGCGTAGGACCATAAATGGTTACCATTGTACCCGTGTGCACCACCTCATGGCCCTGATCCAGCGGCACATAACTGGAGAAGAGCTGCTTGAAGTGGAATCCCTATGTAAGAAACTCTCGAAGTCATCTAAAGGAGTTCATGGGAGAGAGTTTTATGTCCAGCTGTACGACAAGAGGCACTTCGGTCGCAACGTCCTTACCCTGGTGGTATTTTGAACCTTTAAGTAGATGCTTCATACCTGTTGAGGGTAAGTTTGAGTAGGAGACATGCATACGAATCCTAAAGTGACAGTGAGGCGTAGGACCACAAACGATTACCGTTGTACCCACATGCACCACCTTATGGCCATGATCCAGTGACACATAGATGGAAAAGAGCTGCTTGTAGTGCAATCCCTGAGTAAAAGACACCTGGAGTCATTTTGAAGAGACAAAGGTAAGTCGACCGATCAAACTGCACCTCACGTAAGGAATCAAGCTCATCCTGATCCGATACCAAAACGGACTGGTCGGCTAGGTTCGGGAAATACACCCCTACGCATATCCCAGTGCACCAAATACTAGCACGGATCGACGAGACATGGTCGACAACCTACTCCAATGGCCCGAGCGATCAAATAACAATGCAGGCAAAACAAACCGATGTAAGTATTGCAAATTCCATCGCGACTTTGGCCATGACGTGGCAGACTGTTGCAACCTTAAGGACCAAGTCGAGTCTTTAGTCCAGCGAGGATACCTAAAGCAGTCTGTGGGAGAGAGTTGTGTGCCTAGCCGCAGGACCAAAAGGCACTTCGACAGCAACGTCCTTACCATTACCATGGGGGTATTGCGAACCCTTGGGTGGGACTCGACCAAGCTTAAAAGTATGTCCCACCACGCTGGTCAGCTTCTCGGGCGAAAGGTCTAACCCCGAGGGAAGCATCTAGCTACCTCTAACCTTGGGGGAAGGCAAAAGAGTCGTAACCAAGGTCGATGAGTTCGTGGTAGTGGATGACCAGACTCGAGCCGACCTAAATCCAGTCAACCCAGTCTACCTGAACCAACTCAATAAGACTCCCTCTATAAATAAGAGGAGAGACATATAGGGTGCAAGGTACACTCTTAGGGGTACTGACAAGCTTGAGTAGATAAGAGCATTTGTCGGGGACTTTAAGCCTATTTCACTTACATCCTATGTGTGACGGGTCAACATGCTAAATGTCCAAAGAAGTACTATAAATTAATTGTTTTGCAATGTCTCATCCCTGTTAAGGAGTTGGACAAATAAAAGTTCTAGCTATGATTGAGGACTCGATCATAGAGAGATGAAGTCGGAGCCCTTGTGCCTAAGCAATCAAGTACACCTCATGGAACACTTGTCCAGACAGAGGTAAAATTGTCCACCCCCAAATCGACTTAGTCGAGTAGACCTCATTGAAGACTCAACCCCATAAGAGGTTAAGACGAAGCCCTCAGGCCTAAGCAATCGAATAAACCTTGTAGAGTACCTAGTCAAGGTGGAGGTAAAATTAACCATCTCAAACAAACATAGTCGAGTAGACTACATTATGAAGGATCGGCCCCATAGGAGGTAAGGTCGAAGCCCCCAAGATAAACGATCAAGTAAACCTTGTGGAGGACTTGGTCGAGGCGGAGGCAAAATACCACCCCAAACGGGCATAACCAAGTAGACATCATTGAGAACTCGACCTTGAGGAGGTAAGGTCGAAACCCCTAGGCTTAAGCGATCAAGCAGACACTTGGTCGAGGTAGAGGCAAAGTTGATCACCCCATACCGACATAGCTAAGTAGATCTCATTGAAGACTCGACCTAGTAAGATGTAAGGTCGAAGTCTATAGGTCTAAGCAATCAAGTAGACCGGATAGAGAACTTGGTTGAAGCGGAGGCAAAATTGACAGCAATATATCTCATTGAAGACTTGACCCTGAAAGAGGTAAGATCTACCACCTCAACCAAATTGTCACTAATGACAAGTCAAAGGCTTATAGGAAGTTTATCGCGTCCATGAAGGCTTTGGGTAAAAAAAAAGGACCCAAATAGGCCTCGAGTCCAAAAATGACAGAGCCGATGTGCTGAAAAAAGAATAAAATAAAAAATCTCCAGCACTTGCGTTGGGCATTGCCCAAGGTGAAAAGGTCCTTTACCTGATTAACTTTCCTTTGATCTTTTGTATATATATTCATTTACATTTTATTGTTTTCGAAGTTTTTTTTTTTAATTACAATATGTGATGTGGGAAATCAAACTCACAATCTCTTGATTTAAGATATATGTCAATTACCGTTTAACTATTCTCGCTTTCTATTATTTTCGAAGCTATATATAACTCAACTGCAGCTTAGACCTCCTAGGGTCTTCCCTTTTTCATGTGTACACACGCATATGTGTTTGTGTGTGTATATATATGTGGGCATATGTTTCTACATACTTCAATTTGTATTCAACCATCGTGAAGCTTGAGTATTTTCCAATTTCAATATTTATTGGGCACCAAAAAAATATTACTCTTCATAATTGAGTTTCATAGTTCCATGCCCAAAGAGTGGAGGCCATTTTTAATGGGTGAAATTACGCTATCAAATCTCCATAAAGTGAAGTTAGGAAAGTGACGTGAGTCCAACTTTTCGAGCCAACCTACCCAGGTCGAACCATCCAACTAGACCCGACTCAAACCCAATCAAGTCGGTCTACTCGAACCAACTTAAAGAGATCGGAGTGTGTTGGGTACGCTCTCAGCTCTACTCTTGTACTCTCAACGAAACTCTTTGCTAACTTAGGCATCGGAGTGTGTTGGGCTTAGCCGCACATTTAATGTGCAATTTTTTTTTAATGCAAGTTGAGACTTTTTCAAATTTTAGGGAGGGAATTTTTCTTTAAAATTTAAGGATAATATTGAAATTGTCAAAGGGAAAATTAATAAACACATTATTTTTACTTTTAGTACAATATTTTTATTGTGAACCACTTTTATTTTAAAATTGAATAGTTTGTTTAATATAAGATAAAATTTTGTCAAGGTACTAACGTATTTTTCATTACTAAATAACTCCCAAGTCCAATTTAGTTCCTGTATATCATTTTTTATAAAATCTGTTCATACTCTATTTTAGTGGCCAATCACACCATAAAATTTCACATTCTAAAGAAATGTTACTTCTGACAATAACCTGAATATGAATAAAGAAACGAGAAACTTTAAGCATTTCTTTTACTTTTTTTGTGTTAAATTTTTTTTAATATTTTTTTTTCTTGAAATAATAAATTTTTATAGACCTCTTTTGTGAAGTAAACTAGTAGAGTTAGTGGAGCACTTCCCCTTTTATTTTATTATTTCATTATTTTCCCACATTTTTTACAATGATTTTTTACTTGCATCTTTATTTACAACGATTGTCTATATATTTTTAGAAATACAAAGATTCAAGTAATTGGGTCAAATTTTTTGTTTAAATTTGCAGGAGACCCTAATAGAGAATGAAATGCAGGTGGTAGACTGCCCTTCTAAGATAGGGATACGTAGTAACTCACTGGTAGGACATGATACCCAAAAATGACTGACTCAATTACGTGTTGTACTTCTTGAGAAAGAAGTCGTAGGAAACAACTATGGTAAAAAATAAAAGTTGTTCAATCATTTATCCAATCATACGCCTTCATCACAAGATTTTCGAACATAAGGACTTTCTTTTTTACAAAATCAGAGACTCATTCATTACGTTTTTAAGATACAAGAACTGAATTGTTACAATCGTTACAGAAAGAAATAAATACAGGGACCAGTACGTTACATATATTTTAAGAAAAAAAAAGAAGAAGAAAAAGACACTACAGAGGTTAAACATCCACATGCATCATATCAAAGTGAGAAATGAACTTTTGAATTAGTAATAAATAAATATTTGCCTTAAAACTTTAGTGTAGAAATCAAACCCCTGCCAGGGACCAAAATTGATTGGTGAGACCAAACTCTTAAGAAAGACAATCCTCATGGTTAACAAATATCATCACCAAAACCAGGAGAACCAAACAAGTGTAATTGGAAGCCTACAAATCATTACATTCTAGAAGAAAAGCCTCTCCAAAACTTAGTCAATTTCCATACCAGAAATCGCTTCGTCTAAAATCACTTGAAGTTCCTTCACTCTCTGTCTCGTCAGTGCAACGCAATCCTGCAACCATGTCATCCGCTCGTGCATTAGCTTAAAGCTAAGGATGTATTCACTCACACTTTAAATCACAATTATATTTAGAGTTTAACATGAATTTTGAGAGAACCAATAAATACTAATCAGATGCTTCATCTATAGACGTGAATTTTCAAGAACACTTTTGAAAGAATCAAACACTTTAAATTACCGTTATAATAAAATCAAATTTCACAATCCAATATCAGATTGAAAATCCAACCAGCTTCACCAAACTGAAGTAGACAGGGAAAAAGCAAAGAAAGAAGAAATCCGGGGAGCTAATCCGGAATTGGATTCCATCAATAAACTTTCCAGAGATGGAAGAGACCAACCTGAACAGCAGATGTAAAGGCAAGAACGGATCCACCCGGCTTGTAGAAGGATACGAGTTGACCCGACAAATCTAAAACCACGGTCACAATAGTTTCCATGATGGACTCCTCCTCTGCAGTAGGGTCTGCCAAGATGTGGTTCTTGTGGAGTATGCATGTTAATGAGAAAGGAATAGAGCTCAATTTCAGTTTCCTTTTCTCTTTGTTGACAGGCTCCTTCTCAAAGTTTTCTCCCCCTTCTTCCTCGGAGACAAATACTACTTTCCCATCATCATTTAGAGCAACAACAGGGATTTGCACTAACAATATAAACCAGGAAGTTTAAAATATGGCTTAACTGAGGAAAAAGAAGCAATCATCCTAAAAGTAGTTCAAACTACCAAGTTAACAAACAATAAAATAAAAAAACATAAAAAGAAACCTCGTATTAGCATTTCTTAGCTTTTGAAGAGCAATTATTAGATTCTTCAAATAAAGCCTTGTAAAATAGCCAATAATTGCTGACAAGGTTCAAATGGGATCACCAGAAGATAAACCTCGTATTAGCATTTCTTAGCTTTTGAAGAGCAATTATTAGATTCTTCAAATAAAGCCTTGTAAAATAGCCAATAATTGCTGACAAGGTTCAAATGGGATCACCAGAAGATAAACCTCGTATTAGCATTTCTTAGCTTTTGAAGAGCAATTATTAGATTCTTCAAATAAAGCCTCGTAAAATAGCCAATAATCGCTGACATGGTTCAAATGGGATCAACAGAAGATAACACACAAGAAGTTCTTGATTTTTCTTCACTATTAACCGAAGAAAAATACTAAATAGTTTCCTACAAAGCCAAAGGAATTACCAAAAAAAAAACCTCCAATTGGGCTACCCTATAGCTTATGCATACCTATAAAAATTTTCACAAGTTAAATCATAAAATCAAGGTGGTCATAAGTTTTCCAATGAGGTGAAACAAAGGACTGAACCTACTTCATGCCATACCCCCTCATACCGTGGGTGCAAGTCATACTATAAACCCTGAAACCCTAAAGAGGAAAAAATCATTAAGTATTAAAGGCTCACCAGTAGGCTTTGTAGCATAAATATTAGGAAAAGTATCATATCCAACACATATTGGGTACCTGATGCAAGCCAATAGGTTCTAAAGAGTGCTTAGCTTATGTATTCTCTTTTTTTTTTATATATATATACCTTCCTTGTTCTTTACCATGGCAATTAGTTGGCTTATTACTTTTTAAATAACACTACGCATTGAGTTATATTAATTCATAATCATATCATGAAATTCTTTCTCCTGAAGCTTCCTTGCAAAAATAATGGTTCATAGCATTGACAAATTTTATAGTCCAAGAATGGGATCAAGTAAAACGCTTGTTGAGACAGAGGATAAGCTCTCTTTCCTTTCAAGAATTTGTACTCAGACCTCTAATGGTGCCTTATTCCATTTGGAAGAATTACTCAGAAGGAATGATGTAGCAGTTTCAATGATCCATCCAACATACTTTTCAACAATGCCTCTTTGCATGCCTAATTGTGTTGATAATTAGTTGACCAAAGTCCCTAAGATGGAGAAATTATTAGAAGAGACCGCCACAGTGTGGCTTACACCGTTAGATTTATGAGTGAGAAACCACAAAACCACCTTAAATTTAAATCAAGTGCTTATTAGGACAT